ATAGGAGCCTTAGAACCAAGTGAGAGTAATTGTGGTAGGGGATCTGAATGCTAAAGTAGGAGAAACTTTTAGAGAGGGTGTGGTAGGTAAGTTTGGGGTGCCAGGTGTAAATGATAATGGAAGCCCTTTGATTGAACTTTGTATAGAAAGGGGTTTAGTTATAGGTAATACATATTTTAGGAAAAAGAGGATAAACAAGTATACAAGATATGATGTAGGGCAAAATGACAGTAGTTTGTTGGATTATGTATTGGTAGATAAGAGACTGTTGAGCAGACTTCAGGATGTACATGTTTATAGAGGGGCCACAGATATATCAGATCACTTTTTAGTTGTAGCTACACAGAGTAAAAGGTAGATGGGATACAAGGAGAATAGAAGCATCAGGTGAAGGTTTATAAACTAAAAGAGGAGGCAGTTAGGGTAAGATATAAACAGCTATTGGAGGATAGATGGGCTAATGAGAGCATAGGCAATGGGGTCGAAGAGGTATGGGGTAGGTTTAAAAATGAAGTGTTGGAGTGTTCAGCAGAAGTTTGTGGTTACAGGAAGGTGGGTGCGGGAGGGAAGAGGAGCGACTGGTGGAATGATGATGTAAAGAGAGTAGTAAGGGAGAAAAAGTTAGCATATGAGAAGTTTTTACAAAGAAGTGATGCAAGGAAAAAAGTGGTTAAGAGAGTGGTGAAGCAATGTAAAAAGAGAGCAAATGAGAGAGTGGGTGAGATGTTATCAACAAATTTTGTTGAAAATAAGAAAGTTTTGGAGTGAGATTAACAAGTTAAGGAAGCCTAGAGAACAAATGGATTTGTCAGTTAAAAATACGAGAGGAGAGTTATTAAATGGAGAGTTAGAGGTATTGGGAAGATGGAGGGAATATTTTGAGGAATTGTTAAATGTTAATGAAGATAGGGAAGCTGTGATTTCGTGTATAGGGCAAGGAGGAATAACATCTTGTAGGAGTGAGGAAGAGCCAGTTGTGAGTGTGGGGGAAGTTCGTGAGGCAGTAGGTAAAATGAAAGGGGGTAAGGCAGCTGGGATTGATGGGATGAAGATAGAAATGTTAAAAGCAGGTGGGGATATAGTTTTGGAGTGGTTGGTGCAATTATTTAATAAATGTATGGAAGAGGGTAAGGTACCTAGGGATTGGCAGAAAGCATGCATAGTTCCTTTGTATAAAGGCAAAGGGGACAAAAGAGACTGCAAAAATTATAGGGGGATAAGTCTGTTGAGTATACCTGGTAAAGTGTATGGTAGTATTATTGAAAGAAATTAAGAGTAAGACGGAGAATAGGATAGCAGATGAACAAGGAGGCTTTTAGGAAAGGTAGGGGGTGTGTGGACCAGGGTTTACAGTGAAACATATAAGTGAACAGTATTTAGATAAGGCTAAAGAGGTCTTTGTGGCATTTATGGATTTAGAAAAGGCGTATGACAGGGTGGATAGGGGGGCAATGTGGCAGATGTTGCAGGTGTATGGTGTGGGAGGTAGGTTACTGAAAGCAGTAAGAGTTTTTACGAGGATAGTGAGGCTCAAGTTAGAGTATGTAGGAAAGAGGGAAATCATTTCCCAGTAAAAGTAGGCCGTAGACAAGGATGTGTGATGTCACCGTGGTTGTTTAATATATTTATAGATGGGGTTGTAAGAGAAGTAAATGCGAGGGTCTTGGCAAGAGGCGTGGAGTTAAAAGATAAAAAAATCACACAAAGTGGGAGTTGTCACAGTTGCTCTTTGCTGATGACACTGTGCTCTTGGGAGATTCTGAAGAGAAGCTGCAGAGATTGGTGGATGAATTTGGTAGGGTGTGCAAAAGAAGAAAATTAAAAGTGAATACAGGAAAGAGTAAGGTAATGAGGATAACAAAAAGATTAGGTGATGAAAGATTGGATATCAGATTGGAGGGAGAGAGTATGGAGGAGGTGAATGAATTCAGATATCTGGGAGTGGACGTGTCAGCGGATGGGTCTATGAAAGATGAGGTGAATCATAGAATTGATGAGGGGAAAAGGGTGAGTGGGGCACTTAGGAGTCTGTGGAACAAGAACTAGTCCTGGAGGCAAGAGGGAATGTATGAGAGTATAGTTTTTAAACCCAAAGCTCTTATATGGGTGTGAAGCATGGGGGATGAATGTTGCAGCGAGGAGAAGGCTGGAGGCAGTGGAGATGTCATGTCTGAGGGCAATGTGTGGTGTGAATATAAATGCAGAGAATTCGTAGTTTGGAAGTTAGGAGGAGGTGCGGGATTACCAAAACTGTTGTCCAGAGGGCTGAGGAAGGGGTTTTTGAGGTGGTTGAACATGCAGAGAGAATGGAGCGAAACAGAATGACTTCAAGAGTGTATCAGTCTGTAGTGGAAGGAAGGCAGGGTAGGGGTCGGCCTAGGAAAGTTGGAGGGAGGGGGTAAAGGAGGTTTTTGTGTGCGAGGGCTTGAACTTCCAGCAGGCATGCGTGAGCGTGTTTGATAGGAGGGAATGGAGACAAATGGTTTTTAATACTTGACGTGCTGTTGGAGTGTGAGCAAAGTAACATTTATGAAGGGATTCAGGGAAACCGGCAAGCCGGACTTGAGTCCTGGAGATGGGAAGTACAGTGCTGCACTCTGAAGGAGGGGTGTTAATGTTGCAGTTTAAAAACTGTAGTGTAAAACACCCTTCTGGCAAGACAGTGATGGAGTGTATGATGGTGAAAGTTTTTCTTTTTTCGGGCCACCCTGCCTTGGTGGGAATCGGCCAGTGTGTTAATAAAAATAATAAGGTGCTAGCTTGTGTCAATAACAAAAGTGTAGGTTTCACTAGAACCATGTTAACCCTTTGACTGTTTCAGGCCCCTCTCTGAAACTGTCATTCTATGTCTCAATTTTTGAAAAAAAAAAAAAAAAAATTATTTTTTCTTATGAAATGATAGAGAATCTTTTCCCGATGGTAATGACACCAAAAGTTCGAAATTTGGTCGAAAACTCATGGAATTATGCTCCCGTGAAGTTAGCGGTCTCGGCGACATATGCGTATCGGCGATTTCGCCGACTTTGAGCCCTATTTCAGCCAATTCCATTGTTCCAGTTGACCAAACTCATAGCTATTTCTTTAGAACTCCATTTTATCTATCAGCTGAGTACAAGAAACCTCCCATTTACTAATTTGGACTACCCAATATGGTGGTCAGAAATTGGCAATTAGGCCAATTTCACGCAAACTAAAAAAGATACCTATTTCAAAATAGGGTCCAGAATAAACAAGGTAGACATTCGTGGCACTAAAATAACATATGCTCTGTTCATTAGTCACATCTCTAGGCCCCTCGTATATTATTATGCTTCTATTTTGATTTTTTATTCATACAAAAAAATACAAAATTTACTGTTATGCAGACACTGCTTAATTGTAAAAATGTAATAAAAAAAATACAGTATCTAGTGAAAGATATTAGACTCCCAGTATGACTGAAGTTGATGTGGTGAAATTTAATTTATCCTGAACATTGGTAAAATCGAACAATTTCCGCACTTTGAGCTCATTTACAAGGTTCGTTTCATTGTCAAGTAATGAAAATCATCTCTATTTCTTAAATTTTTCCATTTATCGAGTAAGAACCCATTGAAATGGACGCAATATAGCGATAAATACTATAGCAAATATTACACACTAAAGTCGGCGTTTATTCCAAAAAACGATCAGTTGATTTTTCTGCACTCAAATAGTGTGCTGCTAGTGATTTTTTTTTTTTTGTGCCATTGATTCACACAGAACCCATTCTCTACATGTGGACTACCAGTTTTATCGCGCTTGATATTGAAGGCTAGTGAATTATTGAGTATATAACGTTACGTATATAGCATTGGGGTAATCGTATTTATTATCATTAATTATATCAACTGGCGCGATTCCCACCATGAGCAGAGGTGGCAGTAAGAAAAATATAAAACTTTTCCCATCATTTCACTCCATAACTGTAATGCCGAAGGTGCTTTAACAATACAGTTTAAAATCAACCTAATGACACCTCCTAGAGTGCAAGGCATGTTTTTCATCTCCTAGAATCAAGTCCGGCCTGCCGGTTTTGCCCTGAATCCCTTCATAAATGTTACTTTGCTCAACTCACAACAGCTCTCAAGTATTAAAAACCATTTTGTCTCCATTCATCCTAAATCAACGCTCAAACGTATTTATACGTCGAAAACAGTCAAAAGGTTAATTGCTTATGGGGGGGAAGGGGGGTTTCCTGTAGTTATGCCTTCCTGAAATTTGTGTAAAAGTTAATTGTCTAAGGAGGGGGATCTATCCCACCAAAACAGTTAAATCTAATAATGTAAAATGAATAAAATGCCAAGAGTTGGCAGTATATTTTGCAAACAGCAAAATTCAAAATCCAAAACTAATTCTCCAAACTATGTACAGCAGACCGTCGGATAACATGTGATCCAGTAATAGTCGCAACATTGTGGCATATTTTCAGTGAACATGCCATACAAATCAGTGGAGTACATGTAGGGGATAATGTGGCACATGTTACATTCTTTTCCCTCCATTTCCCAGCAAGCCTCGGGGTGAATCCATTGTCTAACAGGGAAAGCCTACATAATGTACACTACCTCCCTCACCCAGTGCTTCATTCCTATGAGTGGCAGGGCCACACCATCCCTCTCCACTCCTCTCAAAATTATTGACATGCACTAGCAACCAAATTTAAGGTAAGAGGTAATATCTAAGGAATCTTTGTAGCTGTAAGTATTTTATTTAATATAACAAATCACTGCATCCACATACAATTACATTATCACTGTTTTCTTAGTTTCGAGACCTATAAAAATCCGAGTGGTCTAATGAATGTAACCATATTTTCTCAATTTGTTCTTCATTTCCGTTAACAATCATCTATGATTACATACAATTTTCACGAATGTAACTACTGTGTTATATGATGGTCAATTGTGCATCAAATTATTTTCTCAATTTATTAAATGTACATTCTGCAAGAAAGGCTATGTAAAGAATTTGAATCTTACCTGTACAGCACGTGTTTGCATCCCCCAAACAATGGCTCTTGTCCTATTATGAAAAAGTTGAGCAATGTCATTCTTCCCAGCCACTGCACGAGTTGCAAAATCCATTTTACGTTCAGCTTGAGGGGATTGCTGTTGATAAAGCATTAATTAGTTAACTGAATGATGCCTGATCTGATTAAAAGCATTTCGTGCAATACATACAATAAACCTAATTAAAAGTATGCTACCACATAATGTACTAAAATTGAAACCACTATTTAAAGGCTACACCTAAAAGTAGGCTATTACTATAATCAAATGATAAGTATACAGATTTAAAAATCTCATGTTGAGGATGGTAAGTCTAGATCATCTTAAGTTGAAGATAATAAGACAGTTGTAAGAAAACCATTACTGTGTTACAGCTTCAACATTTCACTCGGGGATAAACTTTAAATATACATGAAGCACACACAGATAAACACCCTAAGGTCAACCTTGAGAGATGTCAAAGGAGAGGTACAATGTGGCATAATGGGTAAGATCCAGGGGTAAGATAAGAAAAAAAAGTCAAGGTGGTAAGGTAAGGTAGGCAAGGTGGAGGGCCAAATGATGGCTAACATTTTCAATGTAAAAGTTGCATACAATACAGTATACCCTTGATTTAATGGACTTCTAATATATGGGGCATAATCTGCTGGGTCATCTGATTTGGAAACAATGAACAATGTTGATTACAGAATTATTTGTTACTGTTACAATCAAGGCAGAACACATTCGCCTTTATCCACCACAGTCGTTACTAGCCACCCGCTTCCCCTTATTAATCTACTAAATCAAGGGTTTACTATGTGGGCAACTAGTCCATTCAGTGTTTACATAACCTTGGATTTCCTACGTGACCTCCGTAAGGTGAATGGTGGCCACCTCCAGGATCCTGAATTTGGTTCTGGCATCCTCAGGAAATAGTTGCTGCACGGCTCCACGGTTTATAACACTGGAATACGCCCAGCAGTGGGGGACACATTGTTGACATCATCCATCCTACATTTGTTTTCTTAAAGATGAGTTCCACAAATTTAAGATTTATTGTATACCCTGTACAGAATGCTGTAGTACCCCCATGGTAGTGGTGTTCTTGGGTCTGCAAGGCCTGGTTATCTCATTATTTTAGAAGCAGCAATAGCCATGTCCACGTCAACGTTACAAAAAATGGGAATGATGGATTCGGCTATTTGTCCTGCGAGGGGAGAATGAAACGACTGTTTCAGGGCACCCCCTAGGAGTGGTGTGAATTCCATATTTTTTGTTTTTGTTTATTTGTTTGTTTGTTTTTGCAAGTATGTATTACATGTACGTAAAATTTGAGGGTAGTGTCTCCTCAATGCATTCCTGCTCATCTAGGTATTAACTGTCATAGATCCTGACAAGTCAAAGGAAGAAACCTATGACACCATGCTGCCTGAATGTTGTAGTGGAAAAGAAAATGAGCTACAGCATCCTTACTGGTGGGCTTCTGGTATACCAGGTGTTTGAGTGCATTACCTTCCATGATGAGGAAAACATCAATGGTAAATAGTCTTCTTTCACCTCTAGGGTGAACTGAATAGAATGAATAATGTTCCACAGATCTGTGAGCATCGCTGCAACAATGAATGTCAAAACACCCATGAATAATGGCCAAAATGCCATGCGATTTTACCTGGATGTATGCTGGTGAATCTGTCTTTCCAAATGCTCAACATATATGTTGGATGATGCAACATTTTAAACACCTGAAGAATGGCTGATTCACACCATTATTCTACACAGCATCACATGGCTAAGGTATGTGCATGTCATCCTGGACATTGTCTTTATATATTTTGACCATCACCTATTTAAGGATGATGCTCTCCATTCCACAGCACTTTCTATAACAGTTTGCTCTAGAGGTAGAGGAAAAGAAAGGACTCTTTGCTCTTTCTTGATGCTTTTCATGTGAAGGAAGGAAACCCTCAAACACAAGGTGTACCAGAAGCAAATGTTAAGGATCTAGTTCATATCTTTTCCTACTATGACATCAAGACCAAATGTGGTGTCATCACTGATTTCTTCCTTTAAATCCTCAGGATCTGTGAAGATAAATGCCTGGAAGATAAGCAGAAACATACTGAAGACACTTTCATCACCAAGAAATATTCTCCCCCTATCATCCACACCTGCAAGAAAAAGACCATACAAATTCACACCACTTCTAGGAGTGCCCAACATCTAATATCAACTTGTTCTTCCCACAATGCAAGTAGCTGCATCAATCATCCCCCATTTTTTCATGAGGCAAACATGGATGTGGCTGTTATTTTGAAAAATGTTAGATATATCACCAGGCTTTGCAACCCCCAAAAACACAACTACTGCAGGAGATTACAGTAGTCCATGTAGAGAATACAACAAATCTTCACTGGTGAGAGCATGGTCTTGGAACTCATCTTCAAGAACATGGATGTCAATAGGATGGATGATCCAACAATGCATGCATCATCTACTGCAGGATACATTTCCATGCCAGGAACTGGTGAGCTATGCAGCAACTATTTCAGGAGAACACCAGAACCAAACAACCTGGAGGCAGCCACCATTCACCTAACGGATTATTGATATAATCAAGGGGGAAGCACTAAAACCGTAGGATTATACAGTGCCTGTGGGGGGGATGTGGAAGGTATTCAGGCTTAATTCAGGAATCTGGAGCACAGATCCAATTCCCTAAATCAAGAGCCCCTCACCAGCGTCAACAAACATTCCTCGAGGAGTCACCCGAGACCACTCAAGAAAACAATATACACATTAGCTGGACCCATCACCTGTATTATCCATAATTCTTATATTACAAATGTTAACCTTCTCTGGTCCTTCACCTTGCCTACCTGATCTTACCTTCCTTGACTTCTCTTGCCCCGCCCCTGAAGTGGAGGAGATACACGGAACTAGATTTATGTTTAATCTACAGCAGATAAAGGTATTAGTGTTTTCTTAAATGATATAGTTAGTCTAGTTTGCACGACAAGATGAGGCCTGTTTCACACACACAAACATACTATATCAACATCTGCCAGGGTTGCTGCTTACAGGTTATCCAAACAAAATGTACAGTAATCTGCTTCAGTAATATGCCTATATTGTGCATTAATCAACTAATTTCTCTTCACTGTCATTTTTGTCACATTTTTATTAATTTTTTTACTGAGTACATTAACAATCTGTTAGGAAGACCTAAATACATTAGGATACTGTTGTCAATAGAGCCAACAGTATCTTCACATTATGCACCAACGTGAGAGAACTAAATCTATTCAAGTTTATGTAATACACAATAAAAATATTAATATATTTTACAACTGTATTTCTAGTGCCATATTTAACCCTTTGACTGTTTCAGGCCCCTTTCTGAAACTGTCATTCTATGTCGCTCAATTTAAAAAAAAAAAAAAAAAGATTATTTTTTCTTATGAAATGATAGAGAATCTTTTCCCGATGGTAATGACACCAAAAGTTCGAAAATTGGTCGAAAACTCATGGAATTATGCTCCCGCGAAGTTAGCGGTCTCGGCGACATATGCGTATCGGCGATTTTGCCGACTTTGAGCCCTATTTTCAGCCAATTCCATTGTTCCAGTTGACCAAACTCATAGCTATTTCTTTAGAACTCCATTTTATCTATCAGCTGAGTACAAGAAACCTCCCATTTACTAATTTGGACTAACCAATATGGTGGTCAGAAATTGGCAATTTGGCCAATTTCACGCAAACTAAATTATTATTATTATAATCAAAAAGAAGCGCTAAGCCACAAGGACTATACAGCCACGCAAACTAAAAAAGATGCCAATTTCAAAATAGGGTCCAGAATAAACAAGGTAGACATTCGTGGCACTAAAATAACATATGCTCTGTTCATTAGTCACATCTCTAGGCCCCTCTTATATTATTATTGCTTTCTATTTTGATTTTTTATTCATACAAAAAAATACAAAATTTACTGTTATGCAGACTACTGCATTATTGTAAAAATGGTATAAATAATATCAGTGCACTAATGAAAGAATATTAGACTCCCCAGTTGACGTGTATTGGACGTGTGGTGCGATTTATTTACTCCTGAACATTGGTAAAAATCGAACATTTCCGCTACTTTGAGCTCAGTTTCAAGGTCGTTTTCATCATCAAAGTAATGAAAATCATCTCTATTTCTGTAATATGTTTTCCATTTTATCACCTAAGACCATGAAAACGCGAACACAACGATAAATACTATACGAAAATACACCTCAAAGTCGGCGTTTTATTCCAAAAAAAGGATCAGAGTTTTTTTTTTCTCACTACGCAATGTGTGTTGCAGGATTTTTTTTATGTGGTGCACACTGACCACACAGACCCATTCTCTCACATGCGGGCCTACCAACTTTCTCCAGCTTGATTTGAAGCCGCTAGAATTATTGAGTATATATACGTCAGAAACATTGGCTCGTAAGACGTATTTATACGTCGAAAACAGTCAAAGGGTTAAAAAAAAAATTGAGTTGTAGCTAATCTTGTGAACACTTTGCATCCTGCACCCACAAACATTACAGAGCTATTTTTTTGAATTGCTGTGCTAGCATGAGTGGGGCAAATCTGCTCTGAAGAGGAACAAAGATGAAATGAAATTGTGTAGAAAACTGGTATTACTGGGCATGCTTGCATGAAGGTGAGAGAGCCCACAGTTAAGAGACATTATAGTAATAATTAATCTACTGTGCATTATACTGGCAAACAGATGATGCTTAGGAAAAATGTCATCAGCAGAGCAGGTGCTAAGGTAGTTCTGACTGTCTATAATCATCCCATCTAGCACAACTACGGCAACAATCAATGACAATTTCTGAGATAAACCTGGATAATGCTACAGAGGAATCATTCTGCTTTTCCATTCACCACCTACAGCATTGCATCAATGATAAGTACTGTATAATACTACTGTACTTCATTTTAACATATAATTCTACAATAATAATTCAGATTTTATATGGTGATACTATATAGTAGTAAAGTGAATGTTTGTGCTTAGTGTATTTATATTTCAATAAAATCTGATTTTTACTAAAACTTGCATATACTATATTACAAAAGAACACTTATTAAATTCATCACAATGATGCTACAGGATTTATATTCATATTACTGTTATATTTGTGGACTGTTTTGCTGAACTGCAATACAGTACCAGATTTTGAATACTACGTTATCAGAAACAATGAATACTGGTGAGCAAAATATTAGCTAACATTGCATAACTATCAGTCTATTTTAATTTACATGATGTACTGCAGGTCTAATGAGTTACTGAACATGTGTACAAATATATAATACTTTAAACAAAATAAATAGGGGTTTGAAACATTAAGGGTTAAAACAGTAAGGTTGGTTGAAGCAAGCAGTCAGTAATGTGGTCATGGTAACATTATGACTCCTGGGAGACACAGGGTGATATGCCTATAGCTTAAAGGTTATTTCATATAACCTCTTTTCAATACAGACCTAACAACATGCTTGCCACTTGCCATTTGTCTATCAGTTTTTGGCCTTGTACTTTGAAAGTACAAAATATTGTTTAGAACAGAATCTTTCTTTACATTCTTTCAAACTTCCTCTCATTTCTTCCTTTGATCTGAAGATGTTTTAGTCAAGCCTCATTCTTCGTTTTTCATAATTCACATAAAATCTGCTTGTATATGAACATTAACAGATCATTAATAATTTGATTCAAACTAGATCTTTCTTGCTACAGTATTCCTATTTCAAAATCTTTCTCTTCCTCATACTGGTACAATATATAATAAAGGTTCTAATACTTGACAACTATAGTAAAGTATACATGGGATACTGTGGGTCAGATGATCAAATATGTAGGTTACTTGTGGGAATGCAATGTGCAATAGGGGTTTTCTAAACAATAAAAATGAATAAAAACAAACCAAAACAAGCTAATTAAAAAAAATGTTCACTGAAGTCACACAAGGTTAAATAAACAAACCGATAATGTTCTAGCATTGTGTGTTTCAATCATAATTAGGTGCAATCTCTGTCAGCTACTTGCCTGATGCACTACCTGACTTAAGTACTGTATATTTTGCTGAACATCAAACATGATATTTATTACCAAATCAGTTAGTTCCAGTTAAAACAAGTTAAATAAACGAGTTTATAACTTTACAGTGTTTTATGTACTACAGTTAAAACATGATTAAGAGGATTTTTGAGAATCATGTTATGGTATTAACATGTGACACAGCAAACACCCCAGAAACTATCACCAACTACTGGGTCATCAAAGACTAGTGCAAAGAATGAAGCCAGCAGTAATTAACATCAACAAACCTTGTGTGTTTTCCTGTGGCTCTAAATGCTGGTAATGATTACTGGGATCAAGGGAAGGTTGGTGCCATTAGATAAAGTCAGTCAGCTAATATCAAAATATGATTTTCGTAAGCCCCTTAACCTTGTTTATAGTACTGTACACTAAATTTTGCAACTGAAAAATTTTCATAATTTGAGTTCATTAATACAGTGTAAGTTTGGGGTTTAGCAAAATACAGATGCTACAGCAGCTATCTTGGCAAGCCAGCAGCAGCTTCAAAGCTCCCTTTTCATATTTCAAACACAGGGAGTTTAATATGTTGGGCTATTTGGTGGAAATTAAAAAATTACAATTTTCAAATCTTACCAGCTTTGGGGTGTTTCTGGTATTCAGTACATGGCTTCTCAAACACAAGCTCAATATACAAAACATTTCAATTTTACCGAATTTACTAAGTGCTCAATAAAAACTAGTTTAATTTTGCTACAAAAAAATTGTATTACCGTAATGGAGAATGAATTATGTACCAGAAATATTAATATGGATAGAAGTAGTAAAGCAACAGAGGCAAAAAGGAACTAAAAAACTATCACAAAATATGACAATGATATAAAAAAAGCACAGCACTATCAGAATGTCATATATATAATTTGTTAAGAAATACCATTTAAATTTGTTCTGGTATCCTAATTCCTAATTGATACCTGTAAAGTTTAAAGAGCCTGAAATTCTCCATAGTTAATGTGAATCACTCCCCCCCCCCCAAAAAAAAAAAAAAAAAAAAAAAAAAAAAATTGTTATATAATTAACAGTGTGTCCAAATATTGAAGTTGAGCTAGAGAAGTATTGTACTGTACTAACACACAAATTGAATGTGTTAGTTAGCAATTTGCAAGCAGTGAGGAAAGGTTTTGTTAAGCCTTGTATCAACTTTCAAGGCTAGTGCTACAGTAGGAAACAAAATAATAAGCTTCATTAACACCACACAGAAATACCCATTTTTTGCTTGTTGGAAACATTTCCTTCAGATATGAGATTTCTGCAGGAGGGCCCTATGAAAGGAACAAAAAAATTAACAAAAATACAAAATTCACCTATTAAAGAATATTTACCCTATTAAATAGGCATACCTATGTACATGGGGCCTGGGCATGCAGCAGGCACATGTGTGAGCATGTTAGATAGGAGTGAATGGAGACTAATGGCTTTTGGGACCTGATGGGCTATTGGAGTGAGAGCAGGGTAATATTTTGTAAAGGGATTCAGGGAAACCAGTTAGCCAGATTTGAATCATGGAGGTGGGAAATACAATGCCTGCACTTTCAAGGAGGGGTCAGGGATACTGGTTGCTTGGAGTGACATCTAAACTGTCATATCTAGGCACCACCTCTGAAAAGACAGTGATTTTGTGTGACTGATGACAAAAGTGTTGAATGATTGTGAAAATGTTGCTTTCTTTTTTTGGGTTACCCTGCTTGGTGGGAGACAGCCAATATGTTTAAAAGAAAAAAAAAAACTATGTACAATAATGGGTGGTGCACTGAGGCAT